CTGTTAGACTACTGGCTGGGAATAAGATTTTTCAAACCTGTTTCAAATAGAGAACATGCAACCTCCTGTCTTTCACACCTGGAAGAACTCATTCATAACGTTTCTCAATGTTCCTTTAATAGTTTGTATGATCCCACTATGAAAGTTTCTTTGGGTTAGGAAAGAGTAAGTGTATTTCTCAAAATATTACAGTGATTTACCCTTTTCTTCACCCATAACACGGGAATATTAGTATCCATGTCAACTAGTCATTATGCAAATTAAATGAAATAATGCTTTTAAAGTGATTAGCACATTGCCTGATATACAAATGTTCAATGCCTGCTAGATACTATCACCATCAAAGATAATTTATATTGACTATTTGACCACACAGTAACAGAGGAGTTACCATAAATGTTGAGTACTAAAATTTTTATCTTCAATACCTGGCACACAGCCAATAAATATGATTTGAGACTATACATTCCTCTCAAGGTAAGTTACAGAACTATGCTACTTAACAGTGTGATCACACACATACGTGTCCCTTCCAATCTCCTGCCACCTTTCTCTCAAATTCCGGGCCAGTCTCAACCCAGACTTTTACATTAAAATCATTCAGGCAAGCTGGGAATAAAAATGTAATTCTAAATGGTTCTTCACAGATAAGGAACTCCAAATGTACAAGGACAAATGCAGCAGCACCTATTTGATACATTATTTTTCAACATAAACATTTTCATTACAATCTTTGGATTAAATAGACTTTACCAGTTTTTTCCCTTTTTTCATTCTATTTTACTCTTTTAAATATACAAAATAAAACTAAGATCAAAGGATAAATATAATTTCTTTTAACATAAAGCTTCTTTCTTGTACTCTATCCCAAATAACAATAGAAATAATCCTATATAGGTATCTCCTGCTTTTCAAAAGTTTACTTTACACCATGTCCCTTTTACAAAAGACCTACCTTATTATGTTTTCCCTAAGAGAAACAAATTTGAAGAGGATTTCTGCTTTTACAAAGAAAGGTGAAAAGCAAAAGTAGCATTCAGTGTTTGTTTTGGAGAGAGTGCCCCACTCCTTCCCCAGGATTCACACTAGGTATCTCAGCATCAGGCCACCAGAGCTTTGAACTGCATCTACACCTTATCTCAATTTAGTTTATGCATTTTTAGCAAGATGTGTCCTAAGGTAACTTTCTTTGCTTTACACCATTTCTGCTTACAAAAAGTTTCGCAGGAACACTCTACTTTCAGATAGCAAGGGAACCCAGCTTCTGTGTTATGATACTTTCTCCAGCCTAACACTTCTGTGGCTAAAACTATTTTCCAAGACTTCCTGTAACTAGGGTACGACATAATCTGCATTCAGCTATGCAGAGGTGTTGAATGAAGAATTGTGAGGAGGAACTGGTCAGCATGAGTTGGGTGGGGGGTGGAGGACAGGAACAGAATGGTAGTGAGGTAGTCATCCATCTGGGGCTGTCAGTGGTGGCTACCTGAGTGGGCCAGGATTATTGGGGCTTATAGGGTCTGCAGTGGGGAAGACAGCTTTTGTAGCAGGCCAGTTCTAAGGTGGCGTGGTTCTATAAATTGTTGTGCAAGTTCAAAATGTAGCCTGTCCTTCAGCTCTGCCATTGTGTCTGGAAATCCTCTTATTTTCTTTAGTAAATTCTTTCTGCTTAAACAAGTTTACCTGGATTCTGTTGTCTGAAACTAAGAACCTCGACCAATACCCAGAAAATAAAAAACATTTCAGTGAAACTCAATAAACTCATTTATATAAAGTTCAAAAATATGCACAACTAAAAACAAACACAGTTTTGAGACCTTCACCAGTTTCATATTTGCTCTACTTTGATTTGTGCAGAGGTCACTGCAAGTCGATTTGAAATAATATTATTTAATAGTAGTGGTAATACAACAAGTAACTTTTAAGAATTACTTTATAGATCAATGGCCATTAATCAAGAGGTCTCTTTTAGACAGTCTCTCCAGCAAGCAGTGTAGGCAAAGTTGGACAGTCACATGTAAATCAATGAAATTAGAACATATCCTCACACCATACTCAAAAATAAACTCAAAACGGCTTAAAGATTTAAACATAAGACATAACCCCATAAAACTAGAAGGCAATGTAGGCAAAATATTCTCTCACATAAATTGTACCACTGTTTTCTGAGGGCAGTCTCCCAAGGCAACAGAAGTAAAAGCAAAAATAAACAAATGGGACCTAATCGAACATAAGCTTTTGCATAGCAAAGGAAACTATAAGCAAAATAAAAAGCAACCTACAGACTGGGAGAAAATATTTGCAAAGATGACAACCACCACCACCACCACCACCACCAAGGGACTAATATCCAAACTACACAAACAGCTCATGCAACTCAGTAACAAAAAACCCAACTCAATCAAAAAATGGGCAGAAGACCTAAATAAACGACCTAAATTTCTCCAAATAAGACATACAGATGGCCAACTGGCACATGAGAAGATGCTCAATATCACTAATTATTAGAGGAATGTAAATCAAATCTCAGTCGGTGAAGAGTCTGCCTGCAATGCGGGTGCCCCGGGTTTGATCCCTGGGTTGGGAAGATCCCCTGGAGAAGGAAATGGCAACCGAACTCCAGAATTCTTCCCTGGAAAATTCTATGGACAGAGGAGCCTGGTGGGCTACAGTCCATGGGGTCACAAAGAGTCGGACATGACTGAATGACTAACTTTTACTTTTCAAATCAAAACTCCAGCAAGGTACCACCTCACACCAGTCAGAATGGTCACCATTAAAAATCTACAAATAACAAATGCTGGAGAGGGTGTGGAGAAAAGGGAATCCTCCTACACTGTTGGTGGGAAAGTACATTGGTATAGCTACTATGGAAAGCCGTATGGAGGTTGCTAAAAAAACTAAAAATAGAGCTACCATATGATTCAGCAACCCCACTCCCAGGCACATATCTAGAAAAAAATGTAACTCAAAAAGATACACGTACCCCTATGTTCATAATAGCACTATTCATAATAACCAAAACATGAAAGCAACCTAAATGTCAACAGATGAATTGATAAAAAAGATGAGGTACAGATATACACAATGGAATAATACTCCTTGGCCATAGAAAAAGAATGAGATAATGCCATTTGCAGCAACAAGGATGGACCTACGGATTATCATACTAACTGAAAGAAGTCAGAGGACAAATATCATATGACATCAATTATATGTGGAATCTAAAATATGACACAAATGAAATTACCTACAAAACAGAAACAGACCCGTGGATACAGAGAACAGACTTGTGGTTTGGTGCAGTGGGGAGGGATGGAGCGGGTGGTTGGGATTAGCAGATGTGAAGTATTACATACAGAAAGGGTAAACAACAAGGTCCTACCATATACCACAGGGGACTATATTCAACATCGTATAATAAACCATAATGAAAAAGAATGTATATATATGTATAACTGAATCACCCCACTGTACAGCAGAAATTAACACATTTGTAGATCAACTACACTTCAATAATTTTTTTAAAAACGAGGTCATTTTTAACACTCAAGGATTATGAATATAAAAACACAGAGTAAGTCTAGGAGTTAAAGGCTGTGGTCTGTAATTTCAACTGACCAAATAACTTCATTTACTATTAATAAAAAGCAGGAAGTCTGGGATAGATAAATGGGAAAAATGAAATTCTGCTTTTCACCAATTAAATACATGAATATAATGGGTGCTTAACAATCATAAGTCTGGGATTTAGATATTTAACTTTTTTAAACTATAAAACCAACTTCGATTAAAAAAAGACGTTCTCATAACATCAAAGAATAGTTAAAACATTTTTGGTTATAAAACAATTACTGGCTCAAAATGAACTGAAAAAACTCTTAAAGAAATCATAATCTTTTATACGTTGATCTGAGCAAAGTATTTAAAAGAATCAGGTTGAAGAGTCAAAGTTTACATGACCATAAACTGTTTCACAGTTTCTGATGATACAGTTTTCAATAAAAATTTTCATTTTGAAGATGTAATTAGTATTTTTAAACCATAAAATTAAATTTTAAAATGATAAAATATACCTATAATACCTATACCTATAATACCTATGTAAATTTATACGTTGGTAAGGAAAGGTCCACATTTTGTTAACATTCTAAGTCAAGGTATATTTATACTGTAAACTTAGCATTAATACACATTTAGAAATTATTTAAGAAAAATTAATATATTTTAGTAATAACATTTCTGGCTACATTGTAGGCGTTTTCACATATTATATCTCACTAATCTATATAACTAGTCTTCAACACAGAAAGAACAACCATTTTCCTTAAAGCAGTTAATTAGTCTGTAGTACTTATTACCTAGGTAAGCTGAACAAAGTAAACTATGGAGTGGCAGAACCAAATGTGAATCTAGATTTGTCTAACTTTTCTAAAACACCTACTTATTTCTATTAGAGCAGGCTGAATCTTTCAAGACAGGTACACCATCAGTTTCTTCATTATTTTTCTCACAGGAATATAAAATATTATACAAAATAATCATTTTATATCTGAATTGAGTGTTAAGAGTCAGTGAGAGGAGCAGGACATTTCACTTCTGTCTATGAAGATAAAGTTGAGTGCTCTCCATTAATTATATGATAAGTAACAGTGAAGAGTTTATAAAGTAATATCACTATGTAAACATGGTTTCCTAATACTTTCTCTTCTCAACTTTCTGACGTCTACTGACTTTTTTTAAAAAAACTTATTTATTTATTTTTCCATTTATTTTTATTAGTTGGAGGCTAATTACTTTACATCATTGCAGTGGTTTTTGTCATACATTGAAATGAAATCTACTGACTTATTAAAACAGATCTATTCAACAGACAGATTCGATAGACTGTCAAAGGCAATAGTCTTTTTCATTTATCACAAGCCTGGTAATTAATTCATTAGCCTGCCAATCAACCACACTACTAGAGAGATTTGTGAAAGTAGAATGAAACAGCTTACCGTGCACAATGATGTCTCTGTGATTTTTAGGGTAAAATCTGAAGAAAATTCCAAATCTGAGACAGATGTTGTATGACAATCTATATGCTATCCATTAAAAAAAGAGTAGAGGGAAGGATTTAGTAAAAACAGTAAAAGCAAAATCAGAAACACACAAATATTTCTTTTCTATGCAAAAAAATTACTGTAAACCAATGCTTTGCAAACTTTAATCACCCACACCCCACTTCGGGGATTATTTCTAAACTTAAGGGCTATTAGCACTAATATTTAATTACATCTTCTTTAAATCAAATTAGTATTTTTTACTTAGATTTGTTATATGAATAATACATACCAAATCATGGCTCTGTTGTGCTCAAGTTTTTTCTAAGATAGATTAAAATACTCTCAAATAAAAAGTGTTTTCCTGTGTTCCAACTAAAATCATTTTGTAAACCACCAGTGGTATACATTCGCAATAAATTATGTGTGGTAAGTCAATCTTTTTTGTAGGAAATGGCAACTTGAAAACATATGCCATTTAAAAGAACAAGGTGTTTTAGAATTCATTTTTGTAAGTGCATTTGAAGTTTGTTAAATATTAGGAACAACCATACCAATTCCAACCAATGAACAAAATCAATTATGAAGATTCACTTCAGGAGAAAAAATGGCCAAATATCCTTATTTTCCTGTTCTGTCCTAGTTCAAAGCCTTCTCCATTTCACTATGGAGAGTAGATGGACTCGGGTACAGCAGTGTGACTAAAGGATGCTGTGCTGTGAAGGCTGTCATCAGCATTTGGCTGACCATGAATAGGTTATAACACAGTGAACACAATTCACATGACTACTTGAGGCATTACTCTATTTTAAACAGTGAGAAAATTTTAAAGAAGTACATTGTGGTTGACTTTTATTTATAAAAGGACTGGGGAATACAGAACAGGCTACATTTACCTAAACAAACAAAAAGAGAAAAGGATATGTATACTTTTTGAACACCTTTGTTTATCAGTCCTAAATCTTCTATTTCAACTATTTTATTTACCCATAGCATTTTTGGGAATTAAGCCAAGAAATAACTAGAGAGAGAAATTGGCACCACGACATGACCCTTCTCTTTCTGTTCCGTCTTAAGGTTGAGTTGGCTATAACCATTCACCCTTCCCTGAGTGGAAGAATCCAAATAAATCCTTTACACTCAGTGTACCAGGGCACTGAACAGTCCTATAGTCATTAACCATGCTATATTTTTTTTCTTAAAAGCTGAATGCAATTTTAATCAGCTTGTTCTTGTTGAGAAACTTCACATATTAATTTAAGACTTTATCCACTTAAGAAAATTAATGAACTTTTACTGAATATCTATTGAATACTTTGTGCCAAGAATAATTATTGATACTATGAAAGTAAAAGTGTGACTAAAAAGAGACAGTGTTCTGAATTTAACACTAAACAAGTTATATTTATATTATACAATCAAAATAGATAAATTAAGGAGTCTTTCACAAAAACCAACAGTACTATCACTAATTGCAAAATTACTCAACCCATGCAAATTTGACATAGCAAAACTGTCAATAAAATGAGAGATTAACACGGTGAAGAATATAAAATTAAAATAGCAGGGTTTTAGTCTCATGGACAAAGTCACTGTAATTACTTAATCTGAAAAGACTGGAAGAAATCCAAATGAGAAGTTAAACTGTGTGAAACATACAAGAATGAATAACCTGGCTATAAATAAGAAGCTTAGAATTAAGGGCAGGAGGTGGTGGTGAAGCAGAAATGACAATACAACAGGACTTTCTGCCTTCACTAAGTCAATGATTCAAGCCTTCAGTGTAAGAAACTTCACTACATAAAGAGAAGTGATTCCAAACGGAGGGCACAGTCAACTGGTAAATATTATGACATCAAGGTGCTTTAATTAAAATGAAGAATGATTAGTTTTGAAGACCCATACATAAAATCAATTCATCAATTTGACATACTAACCTCATAAATGAAAAATAAGAAATACAGCCACAGTTAAAGAAAATAGTAAAGTACCCACCTTAACACTACAGGCGTCTGAAATAAGTGACTTTGGATCTAAAACATCCACCACAGCCTCCGGAATGACTGCTTTCTTCATGCAGGACATGTTGAAGCCATAGACGTCATCCCAAAAAGCAATTCTATCAGCATGCTTATTCATATCACTTACTGCCACAAGGCTGACAGTGCAACTATCAGGGTAGACTGTAACAAATAAAACACCCAACAATTTAGCATCATCTCCCTTTATAACAAAATACAACCATTAAGGCTAAACAGAAATACCAAGTCCAAAGCAGAGATCACTAGGAATTGATTACTAGCAGTGGAGAGTAATAAGATTAAAGTAAGGATTTCAATGATGAGCTCCTATTCAAATTATTTTAAAAGGATGACACAATCTTGAATTTATTAATATTAAACATGCTGACTGTAAAGAGGTACTGGATTTTTACCTTATATGTTACTCTGAAACGTGTAAAGACAAGTCCTTTCTAAAGATGTTATGTGACGTGTAAGGAAAATTATGGGACAGAATTTTATAGTTGTGCAGGAGACGAGTTCATATCACCTTCTCTTATTTATTATAAAAGGTAAATATTTATGAGCACTAAATATGTGCCAGTAAGTTACTCTAATTTACGTGGATACATGTCCCTACTCAAACTTACATTTATACAATCTTGACAAATAAACTGAAAATTATTTGTGATGTAATAAATACTAAGAAAGGGGAAGCATAAGGTACTAAGAGACCTACAGAAAAAAAAACAAGCAAAAACCCAGCTAACTCAGCTTTGTTTATGGCAGGGAAACAAGGATATTATCATGAAGAGAGCTGAAAAACAAGTAAGTCTGGAATGGTGGCGGGGAGTGGATATGTTCTAGGAAGGGTGGGCAGTGGGCATCTAGGGACATAGTACACTCCAACTTGAGAGGAATAAGCAAGGAATACTAAGCTACAAAGGTTAAGTAGAAACCAAAAAAAAAAATAAAGCCAGTACTGAGTAAACGACATTAATAAACTGGACTTTATTCTGATAAGGATAAGCCAGTGAAAAATTTCATGAGGGAGCACTTGGTCAAAATTTGGTTTCAGAAAAGCCACATGGAGTGCAATGTGGAGAATAAATGGTAGGAAGCAAGACTTAAGAAAGAGGCACTTATAATAATTCAGCTGATCTGAAGTGGAGTGATGGCTGTGGGAATGGAAAGGAGGAGATAGTCAAGGTAAGTTTAGGAGACAGAACTTACAGATGGTAAGACAGGCTGGCTGTGAAAGCGAGAATCAGGAGGAGTCAAGGATGACAGGCTTTATACTTAATGACTGGGCAAATTATGGTACTAACCAGGGCAATGGAATAACGTAAGGGCAGATTCAAGAGGAATATGAGAGTTTAATGCTTAGACAAATAGGTAAAAATATCCAATTCATTATCAGCTGATACATAGGCTTGGAATTCAGTAGAGGTGATCTGGATTCAATACCAAGAGAATACGTGTTAAGAGAGGTAAGGGAATAGTGTGTTCAGAGACAGACTCTTTTTTATTTATTTAGTTTTGACTGTGCTGGGTCTGCATTGCTGTGCGGGCTTTTTTGTCGTTTCGGAGAACGGGGGCTACTCTCTAGTTGTGGTGCGTGGGCTTCTCACTGCGGGAGCCTCTTTTGTTGCGGAGCATAGACTTAGTAGCTCCACAGCATGTGCGATCTTCTCGGGTAAGGGAATGAACCTGTGTCCTTTGCATTGCCAGGTGGATTCTTTACCACTGAGCCACCAGGGAAGCGGAGAGAAACCCTCTTCTAGTAACAAGTAAAAGTCTTTATAACACAAACTTTTAAAAACAATATTGATGCTTGTTTTTTGGACTAATAATCAAATTAACTTTGTCCTTCAAATGTCAACATTTAGGGAATTTGTAAATTAAAATATAAAATACACATTACTGTATCAACACACTGAAAGAAACTACATGTGTGCCAAAGAAACAAAAGAAATAATTTCACTATTATTAACTCAGCCTTCAGACATAAACATCAGAGAAACAACCCTCCTTCCTCCGAACTTTGTTTCTCTCCACAGCTGTAGGAATTTTATTATTCAATGACAGCAGTACTAAATTATCTTCTAAATAAAGCCCACGATAAGATCTGTTGACAACAAAGCAACTGCTTCTTCCAAACCTGACATCTGAGATACCCAGAAAAAAAACCTGGTGCTATGATACTGATAAGAAGTTTCCCAAGTCTTGTCTAAAGCAGCAAGTGAGTCAGGTGTGACAACTGCACTGGGCTGGAGTCGACTGCTGGGTAACCTGAATTACTTCTACTTTCCTCTTCCGCCACAAATGTGGTAAGCCTCTTGACTGTGTTTAAATTTCTGATTGATATAAATACTTCAAAGTAAAAGATATGCTACTGCAAATGGTGATTCAGCAAGTTATCTGCTATAGGAAAGGTATGCATGTTTAGTTTTCTGAACCAGGTCCTTACAATGAGGAACACTGAAGAAGAAACAGAAGCAACTTTAGATATCTAGGTCAGGAAGATCCCCTGGAGAAGGAAATGGCATCCCACTCCAATATTCTTGCCTGGAGAATCCCATGGACTGAGGACTGGTAGGCTACAGTCCATGGCATTGCAAGAGCTGGACAAGACTTAGCAACTAAACCACCACCAAGTTTTTTATGTACACTTCAGACTTAATATGACCATCATAGAAACCTTCCAACATTATGTCCTGTAATTTCACCCTTAAAAGAGGAACATAATAGATCAGGGGTCAGCAAACATCTTATATAAAGTGACTGTATTACGCTTGTAGGCTATATGGTCTTTACTGAAACTATTCATCTCTGGTGCTATGATGTAAAAGTCCCACAGATAATTATAAATACATGAGCATGGCAATTTTCTAATAAAACTTTACCTAAAAAAATAAGCAGGACACTAGGTATCAGTTCAGTCCCTCAGTCCTGTCCAACTCTTTGAGACCCCATGAACTGCAGTCATGCATGCCAGGCTTCCCTGTCCATCATCACCAACTCCTGGAGCTTGCTCAAACTCATGTCTATCGAGTTGGTGATGCCATGCAACCATCTTATCCTCTGTTGTCCTCTTCTCCTCCTGCCTTCAGTCCTTCCCAGCAGCTGGGTCTTTTCAAATGAGTCAGTTCTTCACACCATGTGGCCAAAGTACTGGAGTTTAAGCTTCAGCATCAGTCCTTCCAATGAATATTCAGGACTGATTTCCTTTAGGATTGACTAAAGGAAATCCCTTGCAGTTCAAGGGATTCTCAAGAGTCTTCTCCAACACCACAATTCAAAAGCATCAATTCTTTGGCACTCAGCTTTCTTCATAGTCTAACTCTCACATCCATACATGACTACTGGAAAATCCACAGCTTTGACTAGATGGACCTTTGTTGGCAAAGTAATGTCTCTGCTTTTTAATATGCTGTCTAGGTTGGTCACAACTTTTCTTCCAAGGAGCAGGCATCTTGCGGATATTCCTAATACAGAAGAGGCAGTGTACATTCAAGCCACTTAATATGGTTCACAGAGTTCTTCTATTTTAGAATATTAAAAATCTTAGTGGACTTAAAATACTATCTAGCCTTTTGTAGAAATGTCTGAACTCAGGCACTGAATCAAGTAATATGATGTACTCATTAGTAATAGCATTAAGAAGTAAGGATAACTTTTCCACTGTTTTTAGAAGGAAAAACTCAGTTACTAAAACTAATTAAAAAGCAATTCTGATATTAGAGAAATGCAAATCAAAACTACAATGAGGTAATTTTCACCTCACACCAGTCAGAATGGTAATCATTAAAAATTCTACCAACAATAAATCCTGGAGAGGGTGTGGGAGAAGGGAGCCCTCTCGCTGCTGGTGGGAGTGTAGACTGAAACAGACACTAAGGAGAGCAGCACGGCAACTCCTTAAACAGCGAGGAGCAGAACTACCGTGCGACACAAGGATCCCGCCACTGGGCATATACCCCGAGAAAACCGTAACTGAAGGAGATGCGTGCACCCAAACGTTCGTGGCACCACTTTTCACAAGAGCCAGTACGTGGAAGCAATCTAGAGTGCACCGACAGATGAATCTTACAGAAATCATGGTGTCTGTGTGTATAGTGGAATATTACTCAACTGAAAACAATAACACATTAGAGTCAGTCCTAATGAGGTGGCTGAACCTAGAGCCTATTACACAGAGTAAAGTCAGTCAGAAAGACATTGTATATTAACATGTGCGTACGGAATCTAGGAAGATGGTACTGATGAACCTACCTGCAGGGCAGCAGGGGAGACACAGGCAGAGAGAACAGACTTGTGGACATGGTTGGGGAAGGAGAGGGTGGGACGAATTGAGAGAAAAGCATGGAAACATGCATATCACCATATGTAAAATAGACAGCAAGTAGGAATGTGCTGTGTGACACAGGGAGCTCAACTCCGTGCTCTGGGACAACCTCGAGGGGCGGGACGGAGAGGGAGATGGAAGGGGAGCTGAGGAGGGAGGGGACATATGCATATCCGTGGCCGATTCACGTTGATGTATGGCAAAAACCAACACAATACTGTAAAGCAATTATCCTCCAATTAAAAAAAATTGTTAACACAATTAGCAGATTATAGGAAGTAGAAATAACATATTTTAACTGTTAAAAACAATTTTAAAAATGATGGTAATAAGAAACAGACTAAAGAGGAATATGATTTAATTTGTTGCAGTTTATTTTTTCAATCTAATTATATTTCACAAAGATATAAAAAATCATGGCCTCTGTATTTGTCAGAATTTAGAAATAAGTTTTTATCTTTCAGTTAGTAAGATCTATGAATATCCATGAAAGACTTGCTATCAATGCTACAGGCCAATTTGATTCTTTATCCACCTCCTCACAGCTGGCTAACATTTTGGGCCAGCTGCCAGAATCCTGACTAACCCTTTACCTTCGCATTCTGACACATTTGTCATCTGATTTTTGTCAGATAGAAGCATAATTGAATAATTATTCTTTCTTGTAGGTGAAATTAACAAAGTGCTGATTGGACAAAAGCCTTTTCTTAGCAGACCATTTATAAATTCATGGCTTTGACATCTGTGTCCTTCTCGATTCACTGCCCAGAATTCATTTGTCACTAGAACAGCTCACATGGTGAACAGATAAAGATGGGAAATCCTTTATCCCTTA